AAAAAAAAAAAAAAAAACAAAAAGAACATTCACAGTAAATGTCATCTTAATTATCTTGATCATCTTTCTCGATTATGTCGAAGTCTTGGATCTTCGCTTCTGGAGCCGATGCGGTGTGCCAACCAATTAAGCAAATAGTAATCGCACGTTTAATATTGTAGATGCTCCAACGGTGTGCCTCAGCGGTAGGAATACGGGCGCTTGTTTGCATCGTGACATCGTGGCATCGATACGATAAGAACCTCGCGTGTGTGACTCACGCTAAACGCGCGCCTAGAATAATGCTAGAAAACAGCTCGCTCGATTGCGCAACTAAGTCGAGCTCTCTATCACTGAATACTGTACTAGTCATATATTGTGCGTACGTGCGTGCGTGCGTACGTACGTACGTGCGTGCGTGTGTGCGTGCGTATGTGCTTTCGTGCGTGTGCGTACCAGCGTGTGCGTACGTGCGTGAGTTTACGCACTTCCGATCGTGCGAGCGACTGCGCTTAATCACACCTCGTCGCTCGTTCGTTCGCGTCGCGTCAAAAAGGCGCAGTGGCCGGATTGTCATGGTATAAGTCTTAATAAACAAATTAATTAACAACGATGAGATTTCGCTCTCTTTCTACTCTTCAACTTCGATTCGCGAGAGAGGGAATGAGAATGCACAATCGATCGCGGTAATCGTGATGCCGATCGTCTCTTCATACATGACGTTGTATAATATTATTAAATAAGTAGTCATCGTTCTTGAATTACAATAGAATATATCATAACAACGAAATGAATACCAAGCTGTAATATTTTGGTAAAATGATATGTATGATTATTACGATATTATGTATAATCAGTATTATTAACATTATTAATCAGCAATAATGTATATTAATAACGCTGATTAGTAATATTAAAATTACCAATTGTTTTTGGTAGTAATTGTGATTCTATCGAAATTAGCATTGTAGATATTAAGTAGTATCGTAATCGATAAATTAAATTTTGCATAATATTATAACTTGATATCCAGTTCTGGTCAGTCATGACTAACATACGCTCCGACATCGCATTTGTCGCTCCTATCGCAATTATCCCAATCGATTGATTTCACTTTGCTCTCTTTTTCCAAGAATACATCGTCACTTTAATTTCGCGTTAAAACTTCGTATAACTGTCCGAGAACAGTCTCGCTTACATCGTCAGGAGACTTCGAGACCGGAGATGACTCTCTTATCAGTGTTCCAAACGTTTAACAGTGATTTCAGAACTATCTCTTATGATTGTGACCACTGCCCTTACTTCTAGGACTGTCCGAAGTCGCGTCATTGAGTTCTCTCCTCTGTCTCAGTATGAAGTTGAGATTGTGCGCGGTATTTACAGCGTAGTAGACGTTGGCCGAATTGGGCAGCACCATCTCCCGATCAGGTAGCACCTGGGCGAGGGTGTACTGATCAGGATTGCCCTCGAGGCCGAGTTTCAGCATAGCGTTACGGATAACCTGCGGCGTTCGCTCGTTATTCGACAGCATTATCGACTTGTACAGCACCACGCCTTCCGTCTCCACGTTGTCCGTCTCCATGGTGACTTTGATGATATAAAAGTCTGGCGAACTCTTGTGCGAATGGCTGGGACTGGACAATCCAGCGAGATTTGGCGTGCTGCCGTTAGCCGCCACAGCACCTACCGGGGGTGCCAGACGAGTCTGATGGTTGCCACCTCCGCCAGAGCTTAGGGATACATCCAGGGACGGCAATGACGAGCTCGAAGACGAGCTGGACATCTGTGACGGTGAAGTTCGCCGATCCAGCGAGTTATGCGGCGAGCTTGGGAGAGAGTCGAGGTCGCAGTAAAACTGCGAACTGCTCGAACTGGACGTTGAGGCGATCGAATCGTTTTTCCGGTGACCTTGATGACTCTGTAAGATAAATACCAAGACTCAGTACTCGTTTGCATTGATACCTCGTTATCAATCGAAAATAGATTTTTATTAATAAACTACAGTCTGTTCCAAAAATAATATGAAGTATATATATATATATATATAGAGCTGTAGTAAGTACATATATAGCTATCATTTTAATATTATTATCTCACATCTTTTGTACGTTGAAATTTCGAGTGAATGATTAAAGAAATGTATTTTAATCCGACTTTATATTTAAAAGTTGATGACTAAAGAATATCGACCTGTTTCTTCTTGCCACGGTTGTTAAGAGTATTTCCTGGCGGCGGCTCGATCTGACAACTGAGTTTGTACGCTTCCCGATCATCCAGCACCACCACCGAGTGAAACCAGCGATCGAACACGGGATCTGTGCTGAAGTTATATGCGTTCGCTGCGCCTTGTAGAAGCCTTATCCTAGCGAGTACCTCGAATTCTTTTCGCCTCTTGTCAAAATTGATGAGACCGTCAGCTATCGTGTCCGGTATCGCTGTATCGATCATAGTGAGGTCAGTTAGGAAAGTACCTAGATACGGTATCGTGCCGTAGCTAATATTCTGAAAGCAAAAATTTGGAAAAATTTATCATTGCCGAACTGTAAATTGAAGAAAAAAAAAAAACAGCGCGGAGAATTAAATGTATTTGCTCATATAAATATTGACTTTTGATTTGTATCTAAAATATATTATTCGTGAATCAATATTGTAACTTAACTACTATTGTTTTAATATAAATTTATAATTGATTTTTATTCTTATATTCAATCCTATATCCATTTATAATTAAAGTTCTAATCTTATCAAAATATTAAATTTCCAAATTAATTCAGGCACCAACAATATAAAAAAAGTTAAAATTTTTAAGTTTTAAAACGAAATTCATCAGGCGTCATTAATATTTCGCCATACAATTCATGTGAGTTAACTTTCCTCTTGTCATGACCACGATTTTTCTTCCGATTCAGTAATGTAATTTAAATGTCTCTTATCTTTTTCGAAAGTCGAGAAAAAAGTTCATGAGTTCTCACAAAGAAAATTATATTATCGCACTTACGCCCGCATGAGTATTTTGTTTCTGAAAGAGCTTTTGCAAGTGTCTGTCGCTTCTACCAGCAGTGTCGGCAAACTTGGCAGTACCCTCCTTGATGAGCAATTCTCTCTGTGTCCAGGCATTGTTCTCCTCCGAGAATATCCTCTCGAGCTCGCGGAAGAGTTCGTGTTTTTCTCGGGGCATGCACTGCCAGCACTTCTCCAGCCGATACACCGGATTGCTCTGGAGGCCGGAGACGATCGCCTTTAGGCTACTGAAATTCTTGAGTACTCGCAGTTCCTGCGCGACGTCGATCCACGTCTCGAGGATCCTGGCGCGCTCCTGCGACTTGAGCGTCGTGTCCGTCAGGATCGTCGAGATCACTCGCAGGGAAACGGCATTGAATTGGTTCACGGTCGCCACCACCGTGGCAGCCTCGTGGCTTCTGGAACGATCCTTCCTGGACCACACGGCGCCGAGACACTGATGGGCAACCAACTTCTTGAACACTTCGGCATCCATACGCGTCAGCTGCTCGGCAAAGTGACGGTGAGGCACCTCGGGGAAGATGTAGTTCCCCCAGTGATCCGCCATCGGATCCGGGGAACCGCGCATGGGTAGTCGACCATTGTCGTACACCATGCAGGAGTCTGAAGAGAAGAAAAAACGGATTGACGAGTTAATTTAATTCGAAAGCTTAAAGGAAATAAAATTAAACTAGAGCGAAATATCAATTTCCATAATAAATATTTTTATAATATTTCTTATCTCATACATTACAATTTTAAAAATATGAATTATTATCGAAATAATTAATTAAGTTAGGGCTAATCTGAAATCAAATTTTGAAAACTTAGTGTTTCCTAATAAATATTAAATCCTTTTACGTTTATTTTTCTTTTAAATATATCCAGAATATGTGATACTTATGATAATATTTATCATAAATAAGAATAGATTGCAATTATATCTGTGCTAAAATTTTTTTTTTTTTTTATTTTCTCGAAGCGTATTTTCTGTTGCTTTAAGTAACATCGCTTCTATTTTGGAATATCGTAACTGGATTCTCGGGTTCTCGGTGATTTCCACCAGAGCTCTGAGTGAAAGGTGAGCCGTACCCCGATATAACGGAGCCTGACAGTATAGCAGAGCTTGTGGACCCTCAATTTACACGGGAAGCAGACGTCTTTGTGCGACCGCGAGCTGCCTCTGATTGGCCTTTCACCGCCGCTTTAACATTCAGTCTCTCTCTCTCTCTC